AAATAACGCAGAGAGGTCCTACGGACATATATATATATATATGTTCGTTTTTATGTATGATATTTGTATACACACATGTAAATAGAGAAACATATTGTTCATTCATTCTGCTTGAGACTTTCTATCTCTGTTTGTCTGTCTGTCTGTCTGTCTGTCTGTCTGTCTGTCTGTCTGTCTGTCTGTCTGTTTTTTTGTCTGTCTGTGTGTATGTATGCATGCATGCATGCGTGCATGTATATATATATATACATATATGTATTCGTTTAGTCATACTTACTTGTTTATGTTGTTTTGGTTTATGCCTACACACCTGCTATCATGTGTGCACGTATGTAAGTAACTAAATATTATGTATGTATGTATATATATATATACATATATATATATACATACACATGTGTGTACAACCATGTTTTGATGTTTTACTGATTGGCCTGTTACATGTACGGGCGGGCATCTACGTGTGTATACATCTGTATATATGAGATATGAATGTGAACACGACTGTAGTTGCCTGTATGTATGCATGTACACATGGAGTAACTATAGTCTTTGCATATCAAGCCCCCGCTTGTCGGAAGGCAGTAAGGGAAGACTGAGTCCGCAGTCTGCTGCTCTTGGGTGGTAAGTACGGGATCCTAAACCTGCCACAGGGGCTCCTAGTCAAGTCATCCCAGGGTCTTTCTAGTTCCATCAGCCTACTTACGAATCCCCGGTACCTTCTTAACCGCCTGCCTGTAAGGCTCCCATCAGGTGGATAAACACCGAGGCTCCTTCCGAAGCATTTAGGCACCCAGATCGGAGGGATCCCTTCCATGACCCCGCACCCTAAACCCTACCTACTCCATTGTAGTTCCTTTTTGGGGATGCCTTATAAACTCCTAAATATATAGTTGGTTAAACCAAAAAAGGAACTACAATGGAGACTACAGGTAAACCCTAAGAACAGACAATGCTGAAGCAGGTCACACGGTGAGCGACCATTCCATTTTTGACGCACACGGACGGCACTTCGAGAAGGAGCTCGGGAGATGCACGGTTCATTTTTCAGGGTGTACCTATAGGCCCCATAGTAGTTCCTTTTTGGGATTCCCTAGTAGGATTCTAAATATGAACCCCAAAAGCAACTACTTTAGGGCCTATGTGTAGTTCTCGAAGTTTGCAGGCGGCCCATCGGTTTTTACGCTTGAAGGTTTTAGGCTTGACAGTTGAGGTTGTACATGACAGGGTTTAGGTTTAAGGTTTTGGGGGATTTAGGTCTGAGTCTGGCAGCACTGCTTCCCAGCTGATTGGCAAAGTTTCGGTTCAGCAGCAAGTTTTTTTGAAGGTGTTAGGAGCAAGTTGGCAAAAGCTAGATGTGAGTGTGGGCAGCTGCGAATGTCTTGGTACGGTGGGCAGGGACTACTTTCTGCTAGCGCTGAACCCTACCTATGCCGTGGATTGTAGCACCTGGTCTTGGACGGCCTTATGAAATTGATTTCTCTGGTTGGGATCCTATAAAGTCCCATAATAAGAAATCATGGGAACCAAGCAAAAGGACTGCAGTTCCTGGTCTGGGTAAACCCAAAATCTCACCTAAACCCCAAAACCCAAAGCGCCAACACCCAAAACCCCCAAAACTCCAAACCCCAAAACCCCAAACCCCAAACCCCCCCAAAACCCCAAAACCCAAAACTCAAGTCTCGCATAATGTGTCGACTGAGAGGCTTGACCTCCCTCTGTCTTCGCACTAAGGCTGCAAGGGTTCTCCAAACCCTGACACCCTTACCCCGAAACCCCTATTTAGGGGTCTGAATAGCTAGGGATAGTGGCCCCGTTTAGTCCTCTCTCTCTCTCTCTATATATATATATATATATACATACATATTTATTTATTAAAGAATACAGAGGTATAGGAGACGATTTCCCAACTTCGTAAGGCCCCTGTCTCACGTTGCACTGCGGTAATGCTGGAAGGAGTATTTTGAAGACATGGATGCCCTGGGCATTCTGCGGCCGGACGTGGTGTCTTTCGTTTGCACATATGGGAGTTCTCTAAATTAGGGTCCCTTTTAGGGTGCCTGTTTATAAGGGTGCCGTACTATATTGGGGACCCAAATTTAGAGAACTATCCATATGGGTTTCTCACAGACACACGAGATGTTTTGCTCGTCATGCCCACACGAAATGTTGAGTTCCATTGGGGGTGGCTTCTTTAGGGTCCTGAGAACAATGATCCTATCATTGGATCATGTCCTCGATTTTCGAAGCTCGCATATGATGGTGCTTTTGAGATTTCTCTCACTAACTGAGAACTCGGATCACGGAGTACATGGACGGCCGTGTGCAAAAGTTCATTGAGAGGCTGGAAGAGCTCCTTGGATGTGTTTAGGGTTTAGGGTTTAGGTTCCTCCCGGAACGAGAAAACCAAATCCTGTCAGACGGTTAGACTTGCGTGTGTCGTACTTCCTTCTGCAAGGCGAGTCGAACCCAGAATGCTCCGTCTAGTATAGGGGCCTTAATAATTAGAACAGGGTTTGGGGTATATTGTATTTTATAATGATAACAAGGAACCCTCCCCTACATTAGGCGTAGATGACTCTCAAGACACCAAGACCCTTGTCTGAAATTCGGATACCCAGAGGATGGGCGTTGCCTACGGCTCCGGTGGCAGTGCGCCCCTGCCGCAGCGATGGCTTCGACGGGCTTGTGTGGGGATACTTTTGTAATGTACTATAACATATGTAAATACATAAATGCATACATAAATACTCACTTGAATGTAGATGTTTATAAATACACAGATATATACTTATATGTATATATACTTCTTTATGTTTATTTAAGCGAGCACATATACAAATAGATTCAAGTACATATGCACATACATACAAGCCTACACATCTACAGACTCCTCCTCCTCCTCATCCTCCTCCTTACGTCTCAACATGTCAGAGGCTCGTGGCGCTCATGCAATCGGCATGTACATGAGTATGCATGCAGGTATGTGACACGTCTATGTTTTGGTACATATGCACGCATCATGTATGTATGTGTGTATATATGTATGTATGTATGTATGTATGTATGTATATGTATTCATGTATGTATGTATGTATGTATGTATGTATGTATGTATGTGTGTGTATGTGTCTATGTATGTATGTATGTATGTATGTATGTATGTATTTATGTATGTGTTGTACCTCTGTCTATGTACCTATGTCTATGTACCTGTGCCTATGTCTATGTCTATGTCGACGCCGATGTATATGTATATGTACATATATATACATATATGTATGTATATGTATGCGTGTGTGTGTGTGTGTGTGTGTTCATGCGTGTTTGTGTGTGTGTGTATGTGTGTATAGGTGCATGCGCATGCACATGTGTATGTGTATATATATATATATACTTATGGGCATGTCTCAACATATGCACACATACATCTGAATGTGTACAAACACATTTGTGTATACATACATACGTACATACATACACACATACATACATACATACATACATACATACATACATATAATATGCGTCTGTTGGTATGTAAACTATATAAATCAATATTGTGTCTACGGCAACGGACAGACGGAGCCGTACGAAGGCCCCTATGTAAGACTTGTCTCCTGCAGCTCTTCGCAGGTCTACTTCGACATCGCCTCCTTTGAGAAGATGGGTGACTTGGCGGGGCCATTGCCCCCCCCAATTGGGTTTACGGCTTCGCTTTTTTGAAGCTGATTCTCTGTTTCACTGCTGAAGTAGTTCGGAGCCCCGTGATCCTCAGGCCCGAAATCGTAGCTATCTTTAAGACTAGCTCGTCTTTTGCGAGTGTCTTGCAGTCTGTCTAGGTGCGGTTACCTTGGGACCTTGCAGCCTTCCGCGCAGTAGAAATTTCTGGAAGCCCTTTCTGTAGATTGCTCGTCGCGCACCAAGGCTACCACTACAGGCCTGGTCACGGTCACTCTGGGAGAGGGTTTAGGGGTTTTCGTGCAGAGTTCGAAGAGGTTGTACAAGGGACCCTGCAAGGGTTTCAGGGCTCAGTGTTTACCCATAGGCCCTAAAGTAGTTCCTTTTGGGGGTTCATATTAGAATCCTATTAGGGAATCCCAAAAAGGAACTACTATCGGGCAGATGCCGAAGGTCTGGACGGCTTGAACTCGCCCTCCGGCAACTCTCAAGGTTTGTCTAGCAGAGATAGGCGGACTTGCAGTGCCTCCGCTACCGAGTTCTGTAACACCACACTCGGCACAAGAGCATCCTTAGCCAGTACCGAACGAAGTCCTCCAGCTCTCTGGCTCTTCTGCACTTTTGTTCCCTTTTGGCAGGAAGCTTGTGCCGGCTCTGTGCGCTACCGCCAAGGCTGGCCAACGAGTCCAGTGCGTCTAGGGCTACGGGCCAGGTTTGCTCGGCGGGGCATACTGGGCAGTGACATTTTGAGTGATGATCGTCACTGGTGCTATCGTTGAAGAATAGCTGGAACAAAACCCCAGGTTGGAGTCTTTAGCCATGAGACAGCTGGTCGGCGCTAGGCTAGTTAGTAAGAGTAGTTGCAGTCGTGCCCTTGGATGATCCGGTCGTCGTCTTCGACCACGAAGCAGTTGGACCATGAGCAGCGAAATATCAAATGCCGCGGTTGGTGCACTTATCTGTACGACTGCCCGGTGTGGTGGCGCTGCTGATGGCGGCGGCATCGGTGGTGGTTGTTCGTGTGGGAGATGACTGTTGGTGTTGGTGGTTTTGGCTCTGGTGGTTGGTGATGGTGCTGGTGCTATCACCGATGCTTTGTTGGCGTGAGTGTTGCTGGCGATGCTGCTTGCACAGTAGCAGTACACCAGTTATGCTTCTCAGCTGCCTTTATGGTCATGATAGACATTTTGCTCAGTGGGTAACCACAAGAGTGGAAGTGGAAGTGACGCATGCTGCTTCATACTGCTGCCACAGTCCGGATGACTGCCAGTTGGCCTCGTCACTCTTACGCGGTTTCGGCAGATTTGGTTCGGAAGGAGATGGAAGAAGGTGAAGGCGCTCTTGCAGCTGAAGATGCCGAGAAACGGAGCCCCAACGACTTCGCCCTTTGGAAGCCGCATGGTGGCATTTTGTGTCCGAATACCCAACTTTGTTGGAACTGTTGGAGCCTAGAGTCCTAGACTGCCGTGACCCCTGACCGAACCTTGTGGGCACATTCAGACCGGTCATGACGAACTGATCAGACCGGGCCTATGTTATTCGCCTTGACCCTAAAGCCTAAACCCTAAACCCTACACCCCTACACCCCTAAACCCCTAAACCCTAAACCCCCCGAAACGGGAGAGGAAGCCAAGACACACATCTGTCGACAGAGCCGAGGGCGTCGAAGCCGGGCGAACCGGCTTGGGACCGCCGAACGTTGATGTCTCCCTAACTTCCCCAGATATGGGAGTTTCCGAAAATTAGGGTACCTTATTTTGGGGTCCTTATAATAGGGATCCTACTATTTGGGGTACTATATTAGGGTCCCCTATTTTCGGAAACCCCCCATATTAGGGCCCTAGAGGGGCTCTACCCTAGTACCCTATATAGTAGGTACCTGGGGGTGTGGGTCTGATTGCGATTCTTGGAGCTTCGTTGTATTGGCAAATACATGTCTGGCATTTCGGGTTTAGGGTTTAGGGTTTAGGGTTTAGGGTTTCGGGGGCTTTTGGCAGCTTTGGGATGCCAATCTCACACAAACCTTTTTGCCTAAAGCTGGAACCCAAAGGGTCTAAGTACTTCTATGGTAGGTACTTTGGGGCCCACGCTATCTACTATATGGGTACTTAGACCCTTTGGGGAAACGGTCCCGCAAAAAGTAAAAGACCTGAACCCTGACCTTCATCCCTTTCCTCTGACCTCAGGTTGCAGGTTTACCCTCGGTCCTGCGCTTCGACTGAACGGTTTTATACGGGTACATCTATGAAAAAGTATCTAGAGAGTGGTTATCAGTTGTTCATCCCATTTTGTGCACTTGCAACCATACCTGGTCACCTGCAGCTTCAAAAACGAGCCTTGAAGTATCGAGTGCGACACATGCCGCTGCATCTAACACTATTTTGGGGGTTCCGCATGATAAATATAGTAATAGTATAATGGCCCCCAAAACCCTTTTCTAATTATTAAGGCTTCTTAACCCTAAACCCTTATAGTAGCCCTTCTAGAGCCCTTTCAGGAACCCTTTCAAGGAACCCTCAAAACCCTATTTCTAGTCATTAAGGCCCCTAAACCCTAAACCCGTATAGTTGCCCTTATAGATCCCTTTTAAAGGAGTCCTTTAAAGGAACCCTCAAAAACCCTATTTCTAATGATCAAGATCGTTGCATCTGTTTGACCGTACCCGGATCCAGCCCTGACGGACCCAGGTCGATCCTCACCGGAAGCCTCCGACTTCTGCTCACCTCGAATAGGGTTGGGGTATATAGGGTTTAGGGTTTAGGTTTAGGGTTTAGGGTTTAGGGTGATTCAAGTAGGGTTTAGGGTGATTCAATTAGGGTTTAGGGTACTTCAATAAGGCTTCAGGGTAATTCAACGAAGGGTTTAGGGTAATTCAACAAAGGGTTTAGGGTAATTCAATTAGGGTTTAGGGCACTTCAAACCTAAACCCCCCTACTAAACCCTGAACCCTCAACCCTAAACCCTAAACCCTACTAAACCCTAAACCCTAAACCCCCCCTAACAACCCTGCTTGCTGAAACCTTTCGCAGGAGAGTAAATGGGGCCCTGGACGTCCTGGTGCCTTGGCCGGGCTGGTCCGACTATTAGGGTTTAGGGGTTTAGGGTTCTAGGGTTTATATAGGGCAGAAGTCCTGATGCAAAAAAAGGGTTTATATAGGGTTTAGGGGCTAGGGGTTTAGGGGTTAGGGGTTTAGGGGTTAGAGGTTTAGGGTTTAGGGGTTTAGGGTTCAGGGGTTTAAGTTTAGGGGTTTAGGGTTTAGGGGTTTAGGGTCTAGGGTTAATGGTAGGGACAGTTTGGGTTTCGGGTCCCAAACTAAGATCGTTTGACCTTGCCGTAAGCTCTACATCCACCTCAAGGTCCGGGGTCATTAAACTCCAGAACTGCAGACTTCACGCTGTAAATCCTGCTGCAGGCTTTTGCTTATTCAAAAAACCCTAAACCCTAAACCCCTAAACCCTAAACCCTAAATCGGGTTAGAGAAGTGAGTCTTTGAGAATTGAGGCCTTAAGCACAGAATGCGGAAGTACCGAGGCAGTTCGCCTTGTTGACCTTTGAAAGATTGCCGCGTATGTGTTACATATGGGAGTTTCAGAAAATAAGGGACCCTGATATAGGACCCAACTAGTAGGATCCTTATTATAAGGACCCCAAAATAAGGTACCCGAGTTTTCTGACATTCCCATATGTCCTTTTGCTTTGTTGAGCCGGGTATGTCGTACGGCCTTCACAGCTTTTACACCTGCACCTGAGGTATAAGGTTTCAGATTTTGGAATCCAAAGGTCTGTTCGCAGGAGCCATGTTCTTAGGCTACGCGCAGCTGCTGCAACAGGTTGGCACATTGAGTGCTCTGTCATGGCCACAGACGTCAATGGGGAGTACCTGGATATCCACGCTGGAGGTTGCTTGGCCTTAGTTCGATGCACCACCTGAATGATGCTACTGGTATATCCCAAACAGTGGTTTCATGTCGCCGGCATCGTTCGAGTGTGTTCGCAAGTAGCTTCAGAAAGCGCACCCGGCTTGCCTCGCCACGCTGCCAAGGTGAAGACCTCAAGTTTCCGCAGCTGTGCTGGAACGATGTAAATGAGATTGAGGATCAGTTTGAGGTCGGCACACACGTAAGCTCATGCGTCGCAGCTTGTACATATAGCGCTGAAGATGCCACTTTGGTTTAAGCAAGGCATCACGACAACGAGATGGCGCAGTCCGTGGCGTGGCCTTTGCAGTTCTGTCTGACCTGTTGTCTGAGGAGTCGTAGCATGTCCCAGACAAGGTCCTTCTTTGCGCCCGGAAATACATCAAATAAACAAGCCGTTACAAAGACTCCCCCAAGCAAAAAAGACCACCCAATTCTCAGCAACGCCCTGTGGCCTAGGAAGCCTACCTGCAGCGATCCCAGTGGGTGAACTATTTCTGGCATGCTGGCCATTTGCACATCGAAGGCCTCCTCGAACACAGCGGGATGTCCATGTCAGCATGACTCCTGCCCCGGTTCCTGCGGTATGCTGCGAGTGGCTACCTGTCGCCTGTTGTTCTGCTCCTCAGGCTTTCTTGTTTTGTCCTTGAGCATGGCTACCATATTTGCTTCAGAGTCGTAGACAGGAGCATCCCGTGGCCTTTGCTTGCAGGTCGAATGCCCCCAAAGTTTTGTAACGTTCAGAATGCCAGTCTTCAGACAATGCTACCCAGCATAATTTCCCGGAAGTAACAGCCTCGTGACTGCTTTCGGAACTGGCACAGCGACAGCGCCGGTTAAGAAACAGTCTTTTTTTCGTGAGGGGGGGCTCGATTTCTTATTTTCGAAGCGCACCTTTTTTTCAAAAAATAGAATCGGGATTTGAGCATACCCTGGATTTCTTAAGTCAAATTTCTTAATTTGAAAACCGCCCAAAATAAGAACTTGAGCCCCTCAATTTCTTAAATTTAAGAAATCGAGCCCCTCAATTTCTTATTTTGGTGGTTTTTTTGAGTATGACACAGCCTTGAAAAGCTTTTGTTGAGCTCTTATGGAGCCCTCCAAAGCTGTCATTAGGGCTGAAGACAGCCCTTTTTAGGCCAGCCCAGAACCCCCCAAAATGAGCCCCTCAATTTCTTACAGTCCCTTAGTTTCTTGGTTCTCCTTTCTGCGCGAACAAAAATGGCAAAGACAAAATGAGAAGAGCAAAATAAGAAATTGGCACGCCGAGGTCGGGGTACCCTGGACTTCTTATTTTCAATTTGTGCATTTTATCGATGTTTTCTTTTCGTCGCGCGGCTGTCCGAGGGGCTCAATTTCTTAAACCAGTTATTTCTTAAGCAGTGCTGTTGCTGTAGATCTGAGTCTCAGTGTGACCTGGACTCGAGCATTCCTTGCATTGATGAACCACATTGAACAGCCTCCGGCGCATGAGCAGGACTGAAGATGTCAAAGTCCCTCAAGAACTTCATCACGCACCTTGGACACGGGGTGTAGAGCCCACACGATGTTTCAGGGCTCGTGTCAGAGCACCTTTACAAGTATCTGATGCATGATGTGCGATCCAGATCCCCTGATAATTGCATGTCCTTCTCGTCACTTTCCTGCCTCAGCAATTGAGGATTCGTCAAGCTCTCGGGATGCATTCTCCCCGGCAGCTGCGGTTGATGTTCCTCATGCAGGCTTGGATCTGCTACAGTTTCAAAAGTGGAAAAGCGAGGCATGTTAGTTTGTCAGAGATTTTGGGTGTTTTGCTTCCTAGTTTTAGATATGGGAGTTCTCCGACCATTAAGAAAAACTAAAAGACCTAGTGTAGACAAGGCGACTCGGTTCGCATTCAGAGCTGGCAAACAGGGAAGACGGTTATGAAGGTAGCAAGCTCGGATATTCTCAATTCCCCTTAATTATGGTCTATTCATCAGCAGGTTGGGCAGGCCCCGACAGAACAACTCAATCATTACAGATTGCTCACGCCGAGACAGCTGGGTGTGAACTCGCCTCAGCTTCTGCGTCGACTATAGTAGGTGCCCGAAAATGTGTCCCCCGGGACCTTATTTATATAGGCCTTTACTACAGGGGTCTGAAGAGCATTGCCAAGAAAATCGTTTTATGTTCCTACATGGTATCGAACACCAAGACCGTATTCGAATTTCTAAGGCCCTCATGACTCCAAAACTACCAAAGCCCAGTCACTTAGAATTTCTAAGGCCCTCATGACTCCAAAACTACCAAAGCCCAGTCACTTATCTAGGCCTCTACAGCAAGCCAAGCTGCCGCGTTGAAGCCCTGAACCCATCAAGATCCACCACATCTTCTGACCTGGAGCTCCGGGATAAGCCTCAAATCGAAAATCGGGGAGTGGACTTCAGCTACTTTGTTGGCGTGCGCGGAGAGGCCTGGGATAAAGGCATGAACTACTCTGACCAGGCCGGTGAAGAGGATGCTCGAGTTCATGGCGTGGGGTTCAGGGTTTTGGGGTTTTAGGGTTTAGGGTTTAGGGTGTGGGGTTCAGGGTTTTGGTGTGAGTAGGCGGTTTAATAGGGTTCGGGGATTACGGCTTCGCGCATGCACCAACGCTGCGCGTTTCAGACATGTTAGGCGTTTCAATGTACCTATTGGTGCTGACAGCTGGTGAATGCCCACGGGCCCGCAAGCTGTAGCTTCTGAGTGGTTTCTCTCAAAGCTCCACTATGCGAATTGCCGAGGTGAAGACTAAAATCTGTTAGTACCCTAGACCCTTGAACTCTTAAAGGAAGCTGCGGCTTGAACACTTGGTTCTGCTATGCACACTATTCGCGCACTCGGATGTTTGCTTTGCATCCCCTACTGCCCCCATCTATCTATCTGTCTATCTATCTATCTATCTATCTATCTATTTATCTATCTATCTATCTTTCTATCTATCTATCTATCTATCTATCTATCTATCTAGGTATCTATCTATCTAACTAACTGTCTATCTATCTATCTATCTAACTATCTATCTATCTATCTATCTATCTGTGTGGTCTATGTCCATCCCTCAGCCTTTTCGAAAGCATGGCGAGGGGCATTGTACCATGACCATACCACAACTTGAACAAGCTTTCTACACCATGGCAAACGCTCTTCCCTAACCTGAGCCCGGCCCTTCGTAGAACAACTGAAACCCTAGCCCTAAACCTTACAATTAGTCCCTGAACCCTACACCAACACCCTGCGGCACCTGAGAGGCCATTGACATGGCAAAAGTCGAAGAAAGGCGAGCATGGCGCCAAGATCTCTCTGAGAGAACTGAGCTGAGTCAAGTTTAGGGGTTAGGGCTCCAGGCCGTTGAGTCCGAGCATCGATGAATCTGCAACTGTCCTCATGGCCTCAAGCCACCTCTAATCATCCGGGGAGCATCTTTAGCCGAGGGTCGACTCAGTTCCTGCAAGAACTACTTGAGCCTTTGGCAATCTTCTGAACATGTCTGTTGTTCTGTTGCTGTCTGGCTCTCCATGCGCTTGGCTTTCAGGTATATTCTGTTCCGCATGGGTCATGTGCGATAGTCCATGAGCCTGCTCAGATGCGCTGATATCTCACACAACTTTTGCAGAAGCTCAGCCCATCTCAACACGACAAGCAGTGCTCCCTACGCCATATCATCAAGCATGCGGCATGAGCATGGGCATATCCTTGGGGAATCCTCATACTGTGCGCATTCATGCAACAGAGGCACAGGACGACCTCTGATCTGTGCAGTCCCTGCCCAATGCTTAAAGTAAAGCTCAAAGGTTTATCGTGTTTGCTCAATCGTTTCTAAGGTTTTCCGTGAGTGTCCTCAAAACAGCCTATAGGGTTGTGCCACAACCGTATCCGCCAAGCGTGGGATGTGGCCAGAGAATCGAAGCGTGCTCGCGCTTGTGAGGCCCGAGCTGGGGAGAATGGGTCTTCTCAAACTTTACATGCCTTCAAGAATTACCCGTAGGCCCTAAAGTAGTTCCTTTTGGGTTCATATTTAGAATCCTATTAGGGAATCCCAAAAAGGAACTACTATGGGGCGTATAGGTAAACAGTAAAAGTGTTCCTTGTCAACTCACAATCTTACAGATATATTTGGCCTAAGCTTTCCTTGCAATACATGCCCAGCTGCTCGAGGCATATCACGTTCCAGTGTGTTCGGAAACACCCATAGTCAGTTCATTATGGCAGCATGGGTGAGGATTGGCGGTACATTTCTATCGGAGATAAAAGTAGCAATGACGACCAAGCTCCTCAGCGTCAGTGACTTGTGCAATGCAAAAGCATCGAGATGGGCTGTGACGAACATGATTGAATAGAGAGATCATGTGACACTTAAGTGAATCAAGGCATGAGCATCGACAGACAGATGGACAGAGGCAACGTCTGCGATTTGTGCGTGCAATAGCTGCAGCACCTCACCAACTTGATGCGATATGCGAGGTGGATCGTTCCTTCAGTGCGATTGTTACGTGCTTCGCATAGACTCGATATCTACACAAATCATTCTCTTTGTTGACAATTCAAGATCCTTTTCTTTGGCAGCGTTTGGCCACTGTACGTGATGTTACTGCTGCTGCGGCTGCGGCTGCCGCTGTGGCTCCTTCGCCTGCCCTTTCTTCACATATTCACAGATCTTGCCTTGCTTTGCGGTAGGAAAGCGTTCACACCCCTGATTATCCCCTCAAGCTGCCCTTCAACAAGGACCTACAGAGGCTTCACCACCTTCGACGACGAGAGAGCCTTGTCTCGTATCAGCTAGCAGATAGCTTCAGAAAGTCCCGGTTGTAACTAGACCCTAAACCCTAAACCGTGCAACTGAACCCACCACCCAAAGTCTCGATTGCAAGCCAAATCAGACAGCAGGCGGGTTCAGGGTGTAATTTTTCGGATATGCAAGGCAAGACTGCTTTGAAGTCCGACCTGTGATGTATTGGTTGCTGTTGCACCCTAAACCCTAAAACCCAAGCCTTAACATCCGGAACGCTAGACCCAGAACCCCATGCCCTGAATCTAAACCCAAAATCTTAGAAACCCTAAATTGAACCCGGGCCCTGCTGTACGTGTAGATTCGCTTTGCTTTCTGGTTCTGAGGTGAAGTTCTGCGCATAAAGGAGCGCTTCGACGACTCTTGCCCTTGGTGCCCTTATCAGTTCCTATACTGGCCCGCTACAAGGCTTTTGAGGATGGTGGCCCAGTTGAGGCTTGGGCGTTACTGGCTTGGCTTCCTTGCTCTAAGCACACCTCCTGCCAGGTTTTATTCCCCCCTTTGCGCGCCTTACTGGAGGATGTAAAGGCCCACACCTTCAACACCAGATACCCCTGCAAGGCTTCTGAACTTCTGACTCCTGATCCCCAAAGTAACAGTAGGGTCTTCGATGATCTTCGATGCACCCGCCGTTGGGTCTAAGGTGCTTGAGACGGTTTTCATTATTTGTTTCATGGTGTAGTCTGGGGGTCAGTGGACTCCATAAGAGCCTGGAGACAAACTTCACAGCACCATTGCCACAATGTGGGCAGTCATAACATCAGGGGCCTAAGTAATTAGCTATGCTATTTGGGGGGCTTCATACTACAATCATAGTATAATGGGCCCCAAAACCCTATTCTAATTATTAAGGCCCCTAAACCCTAAACCCTAAACCCTTATAGCAGTCCTTATGGATCCCTTTGAAGGAGCCCCCAAAACCCTATTCTCATTATTAAGGCCCCTATCTTAACCCACCATCGCAAGTTAATTCTAAGTGCCCTGGTCCCCAGGGTCCCAGGGCACAGGCGCCGCAGTCCCAAACCCTCAACCCGGATCTTTGAAGTGACTTTACTCATCCCTAAACCCTAAACCAAACCCTAAACCCTAAACCCTTACATACTTATAATGATTAGGACCCTGTAAGCCCAATCTTGAAAATGTTCCCGCGCAGCCTACCCTCAACCCTACAAACCTTTAATCTTCAAACCGAGGCCTACTGTCGGAAAGATGGCGTCCACCCGGATGGCGCGAGGCAAACCTGGTAGCATCTTTAGAAAAGTATAAGGCACTCCAATGCAGAGGACAGTAGTGGCCATGGTGTTGAAGACAGCAAACAAAGGATTCTCGAGATGACAACATCTCAGAGTACCATATAACAAGACGAAGAGCAGGTAACGGAGTGTGATCCTTCAACCGCAATCCTTAACATACCCTGGAAGAACCCTGAAAGTAACCTCAAAATTATATTGGCCGGCAAACTGAGCCCAAAGTGCTGGCTTCATCTAGCACCCAACAATGCAGAACAAAAAGCTACGGAGATCTTTGACCACCGCAGGGCTCATAAACTTATAGCTACAAATACTTCACCGGTCTCAAGCAAGCCAGCATTAAGACAACACGACTTGCTCGTAATTTCCATTTTAGGGAACATTCAAGTTTGGTCTAGCGCAATCGTAGTTTTCACGATCTCCTTCACCGGAACCAGAACCCTGAAAGACGCATGCCCTAGAAAGACCCAGTAGCAGTGGCACCAGTCGCTGCTGTGTTTCCCTTCAGGTTCTTCACCCTTCCTTGGCATCGCGATTGGCTCTCCGACTGAATGACTATTGCGGCCTCTGTAATTTCTGAGATGCTCACTTAGGCAGGTGCAAAACATGCACTGATGAGCTGAACCTGCGAACTAGTCGCACAAACTTGAAATGATTTCGCTTCGGTTCTCACGAGACAACTTGCCGTGGAGGTGGGCTCCCAATGCTTGCCCTGCGCAAGAACATGACAAGCGCTCAGAACCCTAAACCCCAAACCCTCAGAAGTCTTCGCGTGCAGTGGTGGGCAAGCTGCGAGGTTCGCACCTCGGGCCAAGGACCTCATGTGGTGCAAACCTCAGTCCGCTTGCAATGTGTTTTGTCTCCTCGGACTTGACATACACACCCCTTAGCTCTGTCAGGCGGTTTAGAGTTCAGGGGTTTAGGGCTTTGGAGGTCTAGGGTTTAGGGTTATATAAGCCCATGGTCAGATGGATTTCGGATCAGCCTTGTCAGAGTGGCCTGCGCGAGCCCATACCTCCTTGTGTAATCAAGGCCGCGTATCGGCCCCATCGGTTACTCTTGGACCACTTCCCGTTTAGGTTTTAGGGTCCAGGGTTTAGGGCACTTTAGGTTGCAGGCTGCGACATGGGATCTAGCTCTGGAGGGGAAGTCCTGAGACAGATTTCCGAAGTCGAAGCTCAACCCCGGCCTCCCTTTCCCCTCGCTCCCTGCGCCTGCCAGTCTCCGATGGTCAACTTTTGGGGAAACCGATATAAAGCCACATGAAAACTTTTTGGGACCCTGACAGCTTGCCTTTCAAAACAAAGGGCATGGGACAATCCAGGCCGACTCAACAGACCCCCGCCGCCTTCCTGGTCGTGTAATGCAGACCCGTCCTTTTGCTTTGTTTGCCTTGCTGCCAGCTAGGATCATGGTTGGAAGGGGAGTGTATCAATCAGGGGTCTACCGGGTATACCATTACCCCAAGACTCGAAACCGTAAGCCCCCCCCCCGGTTGCACGCCGAAGCCATCGAACGTAAGGCTGGTCCAGACACCAGAGGAAGAGTACGACCTTTTCGAGCAGGCACCTGGCCTTGAACATCAGTGGCCTGAAGTTTATGGGGGCTAGGGAAGTCCCGTCTGTTGTTTCCTCCGTTTTCCACCTTATAGGATTCTAAATATGAAGCCCCAAGAAGGAACTACTAAGGGGCCACCCTAAACCTTAAACCCTAAACCCTAGACCCTAAACCCAACAAGGAACTACTATGGGGCC